TCAAGGAACGACTGTTGCTGAATATTGTAGACGATGCTGAACAATGCGCGGCGAAGTTCTTCCGATGTAAGCGATGGATTGACAATTTTGACTCCTCTTGATAAGTTGGCGAAGCGAAAGACGTATGCGATGGTTCGAATGCAGCGAGTGTATGAGCTGATGTGAGTCAGCTGTTGGAGAACATGATTGCTGATCACAGCCGTGGTGAATGTGCTCCTTCGTTGCTCTGCTTTGACAATAGTTGGATCGATATCGATGATTTGCGGAGTGGTTGGCCACTGGGACGATGGTTGGGTCAAGAACTGTGGACCTGTGAACCACAGCGATGCTGCCAGCTCAGTTGTAGCAGCTCCGCGCGAAACTATGTCCGCCGGATTGCTCTCACCTGGTACAAATTTCCACTGGCCATCTGCGGTCCATTCTTGAATTTCGGAGATTCGGTTTCTAAAGAATGCTGACAGTGTGACTGAGTGCTGTTTTAGCCAGTTAAGCACAATCTGCGAGTCCGTCCAGAAATAGACCGAGAATTTTCTGTCCGCTAATAGAGGCTTCAATTTCGCATACAGTTGGCCCAGCAAATGCGCTCCACACAATTCCAGTTTTGGAAGGGATTTTTTTCTTTACAGGAGCCACTCTCGATTTGCCAGTCAATAGCTGCACTGCGACATCTCCTGTCGACGTTTCCGAGCGTAGATACACGCAGCAGCCGTAAGCCCTGATTGATGCGTCACAAAATCCATGAAGTTGAAGTGATCGCATCTTGTGTTGGAGGCAATAGCGGGGAATCGATAAAATTGAGACTGTTTGGAATGATTCTAGCCATTTGCTCCAGGCCGTGTGTATGTTTTCTGGAACGCTCTCGTCCCATTGCAGGCCAGCGAGCCAAAGTTTTTGCAGAAGTATTTTTGCGACAACAACAAGCGGTGAGAGCAAACCAAGCGGGTCGAACAAGGCGGATGCGGTGGACAAAATACTTCTTTTGGTGATACGCGTTGCGTGGTTCCTTGGTATGAACTTGAAGAACAGTGTATCCTTGTGCTCGTTCCAGTTCACTCCAAGAGCGCTGGCTAGTCCCTCGCCACAGGAACTGAGCTTCTTAGATGCATGATCTTCCATGAATCCAACGTAGTTGGAATGCCATTTGGTGAGTGGGAAATGCCCTCGACGAAGAATTTCTGTGACTTGATCCTTGATAATGCGAAGCGTCTCTAAGTCGTCTGCACCCGTGAGTAGGTCATCAACATAGAAAGACGACTTTATGATAGCGGCGCCGATTGGACAGTCAGCTTGATGAACATCAGCGAGGTGGTTGAGGCTACGTGTTGTCAAAAATGGGGCGGCTGCAGTGCCGTAGGTTACCGTATTCAATTGATACGTGCGCAGCGTGTCTTCTGGAAATGCTCTCCAAAGAATGTACTGGTATTTGCGATCAATAATGTCGAGATTTACTTGCCTATACATCTTGGTCACATCCGCAGTGATGGCGTAACGATGAAGCCTGAACTTTAGAAGCTGCAGGTACAAGTCCTCCTGGAGTGTTGGGCCAACGCATAGCAAGTCGTTGAGTGATAATTGATTTGACGTCCGGCAAGAGGCGTCAAACACCACCCTAAGCTTAGTAGACTCACTGCTGGGTTTGAGGACGCAGTGATGCGGGATGTAGTAGTGCGGCTCGTGCAGTTTAGGATGAAGTCGCAGTATTGTTGACGAAGTGCTGGAGATTTCGATAGGCGACGTTCCATGCTTAGGAACCGACGGCGAGCGATATCAAATGAGTCTCCCAACCGAGTTGGGTCAGCCTTGAATGGCAGTTTGACGACAATCCTACCAGTGCTGTCGAGACAAGTGGTCTTCTCGTACTGTTCCTCGCAAATAGCATGCTCCGGCTTCTGCAGAGGTGGCGAGTCCACTGCTTCCAGTTCCCACAGACGTTTGAGGTTGACATCAATTGAACTTGCGTTTAAAGCCATGCAAGTGGAAACTTCTATTGGCGCGGTTTGCTGCAGTCGCCCGGTTACGACCCAGCCAAACTGAGTTTTCTGCAGCAGCGGGCCTTGAGGTCCCAGCCTTATTTTCCCTACAGTTAAGGCGTCGAAGAAGGCTTCGGTTCCCAGTAGCAGATCGACGTGGCGTGATTGGTAGAATCTTTCATCAGCGAGCGGCGTATTTTCTGGCAGCTTCCAAGTCGAAACGTCGATGGCCAGATCGGGCTGGTATGAGATTTGTGGAATAATACAGAGATCTGCGGAGAGTGCGAAAGATGAAATGCGAGATTTGACAGATGCAGTTGTGCAATATTTAATATCTGTTTGCGAATGGCCGATGCTTCGAATTTGGACTGCATGTCTTTCCCTCCGTAAGCGAAGCCGTTGTGCGAAGTCTTCCGTCACGAAGTTCACTTGAGAGCAGGAGTCGAGAAGAGCTCTTCCAGGCCAGTAGGTTCCAAACGCATCCTTGACGAGAACCATAGCAGTGGCAAGCAACACCTGAGACTTCTGGCCATAATGCGAGTGCGAGTGTGTTGCAGCTTCCAATGGCGGTGCGGCTGGATACGGTTGGTGCGAGCGAGATGAATCTAGCGAATGGTTGTTGTGCAACAGGGTATGATGTGCCTTGTTGCAGGTGCGACAGCGATTTCTCGATGGGCAGCTCGACAGTTGGTGACCTCTACACAGACAGTTTAAACACAGACGGTGTGTTTTAACGACATCAAATCGCGCGGTTGGATTAAGGTCCTTAAACTTGTCACATCCGAGCAATTTGTGTGAGGGTGCGAGGCAGTATACACATGGTGCGTTGGTCAGCGAAAACGACGAATTGTGAGATCTTGCGGGGGGACGAGTCGGTCTTGGCCGCTCCGATCCATGGGATTGCTCGTCAGACAGAAGAAACTGGCAGTGGCGCTCAAGTATCTGCGTGCATTGGCTCCAGGATGGCAGAGTGAGATAATCCAGTGATTCGTTCCATTTTGTTTTGGTCTGCTGATCGCACTTCTCCATGACCACGTAAGTGAGCATCGCCTCAGAAATTTGAGCGCCCGAGCCTAGCGATGAAAGGGCACTATATAACGCGGATGCGTTGTCGATTAGGCTGCGGAGCTGTTGAGCACTTGCCGCAGCAGCTGGCGGCAGTTTAAAAATCGAGGCTATCGTTTCGACAAAGATTAGGGCAGGCTTGTCATACCGGTCCTTCAGCCGTTCCAGCGCCTTCGCATAATTTTCTCCAGTGACCGGGAAGGCTGCGACAGCTTCCAGTGCAGGTCCCTTTAAACAATTACGGAGATGATTAAATTTGTCTATATTAGATATTTGCTCACGATTGACCAGTGGCAGAAACGACGAGATGAAGTTCTTGTAATCCTTATGATTTCCATCAAAGCTAGGTAGTGCCAATCTTGGCAGTCGAGACGGCGCGCTGTAGCTTGGTGCAGAGATGTGGTCGAAAACTGTGTTGTGCAGATCCTCTCCAAGAAGTTGCTGAATTGCCAACTTTGTAGTTATGTAACTGTCCTCCAGGTCTGCACGTCCACTATCTGTGGATTCCATGGTCTCAATTTCTGATTGTACCGAGAGGGCTTGCTTAAAATATGACTCTAAGATTCCCAAACGGCACTGAAGTTCAGCCGGCGATTTCTGCTCTTCTTCTTCCTTGACATCGACCATTCCTCTTATGCGGGTAATGTTGCGCTTAATATTCGAGCGTTGCCGTTTGAGAGTCTCCAATATAGTCGTTTCCATTGCTGCGACGAAGAATGCGAATGCGAGAACGAGAGTAAAGTTGCGGCAACAACAACGCGGAGCGACGAATGTGGCAATGTCAAGCTAGTTCAAAGCGAAAGCGACTAGAACTCAAAAACTGTACCAGCGACTGCAGTTGGCGATGTAAACAGACGCCGAGCTTATAGAGCGGGCGGGCACACACACACAAGCGAAGAGATGTGCGAAGAAGAGCGCGAATAGTTCCGTTATACGAACGACACGTTGCCCTTAGAATTTTCGTGAATAGTTAATAACTTTATTTGTTTATTTATTATTCACTTTCGATGAATGCACTAGGGTTGAATGTTCACCTTTGTATGCGGTTATGACAATGTTGAGTTGCGATGAGCGGGTCGAGCGAATAATTGTTGCGGGCGATACTTCGACAATTGTTTATGAATTAATAAATTGTTAATAATTTGTTTAAACACTGCCCCACGTTGGGCGCCAAAATGTTTAATGCACAAAGCGTCTTTTGTGCTGCATAAGATATCAGGTTGGGGGGTGCATAAACTAATTGCAATCTAAAAACTCAGGCGAGAAAAAGACAACCGTTTTCCAAGATCTAACATCAGCAACTGCCTTTTATTAGCAGCGGCAAAATAACATAATGTTCTAACAGAGTAATTTACAGAGATTGGTTAATACATGTTAATGAGCTTTGTTTACATTTGTATAGGCAAAGAGAAACAGTATGTAAGACGAAAAATATTGTGAGTTTGACCGAACAATCGGTATTTTTGAGATAAGTTTTAAACAGATCGAGATAAAACCCTTTTTTTTCTACAATCTATTTAAAAGCGCCTGAGCTTAGCGGAATCACAGATAGCAGACATACAAGTGCTTACTACGCCTGGTCATGTCAAATTTTTTAATAAAATTTGATTTTTCAACAGACAAAACTGTCTTAACATTAAAGCAAAAATTGACGACGGCAAGTCAGCTAAAAAAAAACAACTAAAAGCTACGTTTTATTGAATTTTACAAATGGTATGCATCACCAAGTGAAGTTAGTGTCGAATATTCAATATCAAAGGAACGAACTAGATGCCGTTCATTAGGATTCTAAATAAAAAAGGCCTTCACATAAATTATATATACTTCATTTTGTTTTTTCAGAACGGAACCTCTTCGCGTTTTCAGACAAAAGTGATTTGCGCGATGACATTGATTTACTTAATTGCACTCCGCCGGCCATCGTGGAATTTCCAAACTTTATGCGACAGAAAAGTTGGATAGCAGCCACAGTTTGCTTTTTCCTCAGCATGTACCTGTTCGTCGTCCTGGCTATTGTTCGTGATGATTACCTAGTGCCGGCCATGGAGCGACTGTGCTACAGTAAGATTTAATAAACACTTCACAAAAGTTAATGTTCTCTCATTGTAATACAGAATGCACACTCAATACCGTAATGGTCCTAGGAGTGTGTAACCCGTCCTTCTGTCTGTCTGTATGAACGAGGAAATACGCAGGATTATTTATAAAGAAGCGTTTTCAATCCACTTCTTAATCCTATATGCGTTTGTCTGTATGTAGACCAAGATATCTGAAACTGTAAAAGCATGCAGAGTCTTGGTCTACCTAAAGTAGTATAGCAAGAGATGGCTAAAGCGTTTTTAAGCAGTCTTGTACTCAAACCGCAAAGCTTTTCAATTAAACTATTATGTAATAATAATCTGTTTTCATAGCTCTGCGAATGACATATGATGTGGCCGGAGCCACTTTCCTGGCGGCTGCCACTTCGGCCCCGGAACTCTTCGTTAACTTTGTAGCAACCTTTATCACTCACGGCGACATTGGACTAGGCACGATCGTGTGATCCTCGGTGTTCAACATCTTGGTAATCGCAGGCGTGTGCGGCATACTTACTCCACCGGTGCGGTCTGATCATAAATTCAGACTGAATAGTGTCTTTTATTGATATTCTTTTGCTTTTTCTTACAGAGTAAACTGGATTGGTGGCCGGTTACAAGGGATACAGTTTGGTACCTCGTGGCCATAGCGACTGTCACAACTGTGGTGTGGGATTCGCTTGTCACGTGGTATGAGGCTACCGTCCTTATCCTACTGTACTTGCTTTATATCATTCAACTAGTGCTGGACCGCCGAATCCAGAACGGTGTTCGCAGTAAGAATAGCATTTAATCAGGTTTTTTTTCAGGTCTCTTTCAAAAGTCGGTCATGCCCACTCTAATGCCCACTAACCGCTAAAGTATGTGGAGCACAAAATATTAAAATTAAACTTCTGGTTTGATTTTTGTTAATATCTAAAGATCAACCTTTTTTCGATTCATTAGCGAGCATACTGCACATAAAAATGGGTTAACTAGTAGTGAGCACTTGGGGCATCGGCGAATTGGCACTCGGCTAAAATGGCACTCGGCGAAATGGCCCTCCACTGATTAGCCGACCGCCCAGCCAGTGTCTAGGATAAATCTTTGGTTGGGGTCTTGGCTGAGAAACCGTTTTCGGGTATAGGTCATAGGAGTCCAAGATCATTACATTACGTTTGTAATTCATTTCGTTTTCCCCAAGTGCTCACTACTACCCTAAAAAGGCAAAAATTTCGTTAATTGGGGGTCTCAATATAGACCCTCACTAAAAAAAAAAAAAAAAAGTGTGTTTGGTGTCATTGGAAAGCATTTTTCACACAAATTTTCACACCTCCGCGCACAAGCAGACCTGAGCGCACACTTGAGCTGGGAGTTCTCAGGTGGACTCATCCAAGAGCAAAGGGTCACGTCTTCCAGAAAACCAATGGAGGGAGGATCTTATAGAATACCTGACTCAGGCGCACACATACATACCGAGTATCCGTGCATACAAGTATTTAAAATTTTAAAATCAAGTCAGCTAAATGTAAAACTGATGTATTATAATCAGCCTATGTCCTATGTTCTAGCTACTTCCAGCTTAAGGCTAGAAATTTTAAATTGGTTCACGATCGAATGCAAGTGCTGACAACGTGGTTACAAGTATATATATATAAAGGTAAAATGTTTATTTCATAACGATTGTGCATGACCGTTTCCGATTCCTTTTAAGTCTTAAAATAAATATTTATTGCAATTGACGGTGTTCTGACCGTTATTTCCCACACACCTGTATTTACATTCGTGGAACCATTTGGCATCGTTCTTATCAAGTGAACATAGAAAGGGACAAATCTTCCTTACACGGGGATTTGCACAAACAACCCCCCCGTCCCTAAAAACCAAAAAATAAAAAATTTTTTATCCTTTACTTTTTCCCCTCCCCCCCCCCCCCCCCCCCGATCATCATCCGTTAATTTGTTCGCCATCCTTGTCTTCCTTATCCTTCAATACCATATGACTGGCGTCCGAGGCTCCTATGTATACTCAAAACCAATACGATTGGTTCTAGGAGTAAAACATACCTGTATGCACTCCCTATTGGTAACATTAGGTGAACATAGTCTAGAGACTATATAAATGACACCACTCAAATTGCTCAGAATCAGTTACTTAAAGGCTTCAGAAATACATAACTATGGATCTTACTGTTGAATTTTATAATTCTTTTGAGGCTGATAAGACCCTCGTTAACCAACCTTTCGGCAAAAACGTTAAAGTGATCGGGTCAGATGAAATCGATGACCAGGACTCCGATGTGGAAATTATTAAGGATTCTGAGCCGGACTGCTCATTGGAACTCGACGATGAAGACACCGTAGACCGATACCTACGAGAAGTATTTGAACCACCCTCATCGTCAACTCAAACCATTCCATCAGAATTGGATTCTTTAGGGTTTGAAGACTTTCCTAAGGGTAAGGATACCCACGAAGTTCTAAGAAAACTTATTCAGCTTGAACAAAGCGAAGAGCAATATAAGAATATGTAGTGTGCTCAAACGTTTGATTTGGATAAGACTGAGCCTAACCTCTTTCCAAATGATGATCACATTTTTAATAAGATAATTGAAAATGAACCCCAGACAAAATATCAACAACTTATGGGTGACGGACAGGATAGTGTTTTAATGGATGTTCTATTAAGATTAGATTCCTAATATTTGTATATTCGTCTTAAAACATTATGAAATAAAAACACGTTATATAAATTCAATATTTAAAGTTCTTGTTCTTTATTAGATATTTCTCTTTCGTTTTATTTATACTTTTTAATTCAGCATCGTGCATCAATATCATGTGCATATTAAAATCGTCTCGCAGCCAAAATTTCCGAACATCAGTACAGAAATAACAGTAGTAATAAAAGGACTTTGATTTTGTATAGCTAAAGTTGTGTACTTTTAAGGTATGAACTTTTAGACTGTTGCGCGTAGTAAAAGATTTTCATTCCGAGCATATCTCACAAAGAAACTTGACCATTTGGATGTGAAACTGAACTGAGTTTTTTATAAAAAATACATCTATTTTAAAGGGTTTTAAATGAAAAATTGTATATTATATACTTTAACTGTGTTGTGGTACACCTGTATATATAATATATACCTATATATAATGTGTACATGAAAGAGTGAAATAGGTATATTCTTTCATGTATAAAAGACCATGTAATTCATGTAACAAATTAGTATTCAACGACTAGTGACTAGAACACCACGACTCCAATCTCTAACCAATCAAAAATGGTATATAAACACTTCTTTATGTATATAATCCTTCCTAATGTACTTATTCTTCATAGGATTTCTTAGAGACCCTAAATGAATCAAAACCGTTTATTGGTTATACGAAAATTGAAGATCTATGTATTGGGTTTGATTATAAGATCACCGGATGTAAATTAAGGAAAACACCTTATGGAACTAAAATATGCCTTTATTTAGCCAATAAGGAAAATGAGGATATTTGGATATTTCTACCAAAAAGTTATGTAAACAAATTTTCTACTAAGACACCATTTAAGAAATTGACTGAGAACGGAATTTCTCATATGGTATATAAAGGAAAGGATCCAAATAGATATAGCTGTGCTCAAATTGAATTTATCAGTAAATAAATGAAGTAAATAAATGAAGTAAATAAGAAATTCCCCTTATAAAAGATTGAATTTCTTATTCCAAAATCAGTCTTAGTTCAACCTTAACAAGTTACAAGTCTTACAAAAATGCACGCTAAACAAATTGAAGTCTTCTTGATGCAGTTTGAAGACATGTTATTCGAGCAACACCTCAGGAGGCTTGAATATTTAAAAGCCACCCTTGAGGACTTAGCGGAAAAGGAGTTAATACATTCAAAGTTTGGATTCCACTACAAACTTTGTCCTTGGAGTGATGAAGATGCTACATCTGGACCAGACACATGTCAGTGTCATATGCTGCCGATATTAGAAGACGAGGCCCTTAATATTATGCTTAAATATTATAAGTTAAACCAGAGATTGTATCGCTCAGAAACATTAAATAAACTCAACTAATAATAAAAAAATTTTATTTTACTTTTTGAAATTTTTCTTAAACATTTTAAGTATTTGTTTATCATTATAAGTAAAGTCGTTTTTCTTGAAATTTTTCAGGAAGCACTTAAGTGATTTATTTTTACATTTAAAAAGTCCGAACAACATACAATAATGACCACAGGTGTTAGAAAAATATCCTTGTAGTTGTTGTTTATTAAAAAAATATTTATGGGCGTTTGATCTTAAAAATGTTATGAATTCCTTTTTCTGAGGATATTGACCATATGAATCGAAAAATTCAGCTGACTTAGGGCTATCAAAATAGAAGGCAATCCAATGAGTTCCAGGTTTATCTGATGGATCGGTATTCGCAATAATAAGAGCCGGATACTTTTTTATAGTTTCAGGTAACTGGTCCGAAGGGAAAACTCCTTTAAAAATCAATCGTGTTTTTGCATGCTTTGATAGCAAATATTTAATTTGTAATGTATTCATGTTAAAGGAGTAATCGTATGTTTCTATGCTTATCAATATCAATCATGGAATCGTATTCGCAGTACACCAGACAAGTAACTGCTTCAGTAAGTGGTTCAGAGAATCTTCCTTCGATTCGTATAGTTCCTTGGGTTATTAAATTCGCACAAACACTCGAATTTGAATGATCGGCAGTTAGGTCAAAAGCCAATATAAAACTGTTTGTGTCAAACATTTCCTTTGTAATTTGCAGACCACGATCATAATGTTTTATCCCACTAGATCTGAATAGCATATTATAGCCCCGTGAGCTCTGAACATTTTCACCATTCGAGTAATCAAACTCAAGAGCTTGAGAAGGAACTTGAACTCCATTCACCAATAAGTTAAATCGTTGAATTTTAAAATGTTCAAAATGAAATGGATCTAAACCACGGTTTCCTGAGTATGAACGGTTTTTAACCATACAAAACGCTAGAAAATTGGGTAGCTGTCCAATAACTGCATTGTCTATAGATAATGTATTATTTCCTGGGTATATTGTAAAAGATTTTACTTCAACCTTATTGAAAGGGTATATAGCATTTTTGGTCTGTAAAACTCGATGGTGAGCCAATAAAATGCTTGGGTTAACTGTTATATGATTCATGAAAAGTTGAGCTTCCAGTATCTTTAAATTTGACTCAGTACCAGTTTCCATTAAATAAAATGCAGTCTTTTCAATATTAAAATTAATTCTTAAATCAACATTATTTACTAGTAGTTTTGGTTGATTAAATATATCGCCGTGGATTTTTCCGAAAAGTTCCACCTTATTACTATTTTTAAATAAATTTTTAAGCTTTAGATTGGTATCTGGATAAACATATTCGCCTGCCGTTATTCGTCCAAAATTCGGGAAATATCCTTGGGAGGCTAAGTGACTTTCTGAGGCATCACTTCCATAGTTTAAAACTGTTTGCAAATACGATCTATAATGATAATTATTATCACTCTGCGATACTAATATATTATTTAAATAAACTGAGGAACTTCTAAATATAGAGTGTAAGATATTGTTCACTACACCGACATCGTTTCCTACAATGCCGGTACTATCACTTTTTCTAAGTTGCACAACAAGTCGTAAATAAACACTTGATAGGTCTCGATATGTTTCACCATTTCCTAAACAGACAAATTCTATTGATGATGCTCCGTCTAAAGAAGCAATTGGATTATATGAAACTTCTTCAGTTCTTATAATGGAACTTTGCGTGGGATGTGGTGCAAACAAATCCAGTT